TAATATAAGTAGAATAAATGATATTTACAATCGAACTTTCCTCGATTCTATAATAAATGATGTTTACAACTAAACTTTCCTTGATTCTGAAAATCGCACGAGGAATAATCGTACGACGTAATAAAATATACGTGGAAGCTTATTAACAATTCGAATAGATGCACGGCGCAGCTAATAATTAGTGTCGCGAATCCCTGAGTGAGAAGGGGTGGCCGTAGAAAGGCCCGGTTATAAAAGAGGTCGAGCGAAGTTAGAATTCAGTTCGGTGGTGTTTCGTCGACAGGAATTCATCGTATAAGTGAAACCAGCGATTAGGTGGGTGAACCATCAAGTGCTTGATTAAGTGGACACAGTGATCGGAATCGTGAACAAGTAAAATATCCTTAAAAATTCATTTTCAGATTGGAAAAAACAATGTCGACGGCAGGACCGGAATTAGTAGCCGGCTCGATGGCTGCCACTGCAGCCACGACCGCTGGACTTTCGGCGACGACTGTCTTTCTATCTCTCTTCATACCCGCCCTTATCCTCTATGCCATCTACTTCAGGATCTCCAGGCGTCATATGTACGAGCTCGCCGAGAAAATACCTGGACCTCCCGCCTTGCCAATCCTTGGAAACGCGTTGGATTTCATCGGAAGCTCAGACAGTAAGCAAATGGCAAAGCTAATAGTAACTTCTAATAAAATAGTAAATTCTCCTAATCCTTGCAATTTAGTGTTAGTAGTTTATCGAGATGTGAAGCATGAATATTAATTTTTGTATTCCAGCAATCTTCCAGACCGTTTACCAGAAGTCTTTCGAATTTAATGAAGTGATCAAGCTATGGATCGGTCCTAAATTGATTGTCTTCTTGGTTGATCCCCGAGACGTCGAAGTGATCCTTTCCAGCCATGTGTACATCGACAAGTCCGCCGAATACAGGTTCTTCAAACCATGGCTCGGTGATGGTCTCCTTATTTCTTCTGGTAAGATTCTTAATTTTCATATAACAGAAAGTTGGAAATTTTTAACAGATTTCATAACTTTCATTTAAGGAAATACGTAATACTTCTTATTTAAACAAATTAAAACGTCTCATCAGCTTTGTAGTATAATTGGATGTAACGTGTACGAGAAGTAAACAAAATACGGCTGGAAGAAAGTGTCGACGTAATCCGGTGTAAGAAACGGGATGCTGTTATCGTAACTTTCTCGCTTGCCGAGCGATAATCTTTTTCTTCCCTTTTCGATCATTCATTCCGCCACGTAACGCGTACACGTAACTGCATCGCGTGTAACGAATTTCCATTAGGAATGCACATCGCGGATTCGATGGAAACCTTACTTCCTTGTCTCGCAGGACAGAAGAAGGCGATTTCGTAATCCCATTAAATGAATACTTTCCGAAATACGCGATTGAAGTAGTTCGACTGAAATCGTAGCATCCTACGTCAATGCGGTCAGAAATGTAGTAAAGCAGGAAGAGGACTTGTTGGAAGTGCCTTCAGCAGTTTTTCCATGTGTCCCTGTAACGTAATCTCAGTGACAGTATCCGTAATACTGTTACTTAACTTACTACCCACTTACTTAATCGACACTTCAACCTTTCTTTCAATTCTACAATTAAGGATTCATAAGAATATCCCTCGTAATCTTTCCTTCGAGCAAACATCTAAAGTGTCGATGCAATTCGAACGCGAACAGGTCAGAAATGGCGTAATCACCGCAAGCTGATCGCGCCGACTTTCCACTTGAACGTGTTGAAGAGTTTCATTGACCTCTTCAATGCTAACTCCCGCGCCGTGGTTGAGAAGATGAGGAAGGAAAATGGCAAGGAATTCGACATCCATCACTACATGTCCGAGCTGACGGTGGAAATCCTTTTGGAAACCGCCATGGGCGTCTCTAAGACCACACAGGACAAAAGCGGTTTCGAATACGCCATGGCAGTGATGAAGTACGTTCATATTTCTTACGCAAACCGTTTTCTTTCTTAGGAGAAAGTTCCAACGTGCATGCGAGTTGCAGGCATTGCGCAACCGATAGAAAATAGTCTCGTTTCTCTGGATGATAATGGATACGTACCGAATCGAAATTAACTTTGTAATTCCTCCGCAGAATGTGTGACATTCTTCACCTTCGTCACACGAAAGTATGGCTCAGGCCAGACTTCCTCTTCAACCTCACGAAATACGGCAAAGATCAGATCAAACTTCTGGAAATCATCCACGGACTCACCAAGAAAGTTATTAAGCGCAAGAAGGAGGAATACAAGAGTGGAAAGAGGAACATCATCGACACCACTGCTCAGAAAACCGAGAAGGTGAGATATAACAATATAAAAAAAAGAAAGTATTTCTTAAGGAAAGAATTTCTTTTTTTTAAGGACGTACTGATTTTTATGAAATTTTATTACGATACGTTGAAGCATTCTGTAGACAAAATAAACAAAAAATTGTTTTATAACTATACCCTATGATACATCGGAGTATATAAGAAAGATACAGTCCGAATGTCGATGCAAACACTTCAGTCGTGCACAAGATTTTTACTAACATTTAAACGAACGCTTTCTCTTTACATAATGGTAAGATGAATATCCAGTACAATTCCAGGACGTTGTTCTATGTATTTCAGAATACGACTGTAATAGAGGGTGTCTCGTTCGGTCAGTCTACTGGACTGAAGGACGATCTCGACGTTGACGATGATGTAGGTGAGAAGAAGAGGCAAGCTTTCTTGGACCTCCTGATCGAAGCCGGACAAAACGGTGTCATCCTTAATGACCAGGAAGTCAAGGAACAAGTAGACACCATCATGTTCGAGGTAAGCATTCAAAACGATTTTACACATTCTTGAAAACTCTAATATACGGAGGTTGAACTTAATTTCGTTTCGAAAAGGGACATGACACGACTGCCTCCGGATCCAGCTTCTTCCTCGCGATGATGGGTTGCCACCCTGACATCCAAGAGAAAGTGATCCAAGAATTGGACGAGATCTTCGGTGACAGTGACAGACCTGCCACTTTCCAAGACACCTTACAGATGAAATACCTCGAGCGTTGCCTTCTGGAAACGCTCCGAATGTACCCACCAGTACCCATCATTGCCCGTGAAATTAAGACAGACTTGAAACTCGGTTAGTACCTTTTTAAACCTAATCTCATTCCTCGAAACTCTTCAGTTGAGACATTCATTACTAGATTGAGAATTCTTATGAACATAAAATATTTCGAACATAGAATTAAAGAATGAAATTTAGACATGCCTTCCACTTTTTAATTAAATATCGTAGGATCCACTTTGCTTGCAGTATTTTGTATTTTTTGCATATACTCGTGTCTTTTATAAATGCATGACAGTCTGCTGTCTATTCGTTACACTTTATAATAATTGTAAAGTATTTTATTAGTACTCAAGTGTACTGCTCTCGTTTCTTAAAATTATAGAATTGAAAATAAAGCTGAATTAAAATCTGATTCCAGTGTCTGGAGACTACACTGTCCCGGCCGGTTGCACGGTGGTGATCGGTACCTTCAAGCTGCACCGACAGCCGCACATCTACCCGAACCCGGACGAGTTCAACCCTGACAATTTCCTGCCGGAGAAGACGGCGAACCGTCATTACTACGCGTTCGTTCCGTTCTCCGCAGGACCGCGATCATGCGTGGGCCGCAAGTACGCGATGCTCAAGCTGAAGATCGTCCTCTCGACGATCCTCAGGAACTTCCGCGTTCGATCGGACATCAAGGAGGCGGACTTCCGGCTGCAGGCCGATATCATCTTAAAGAGGGCCGAGGGATTCAAAGTGAAGCTGGAACCGAGGAAAACGATGGTAGCGGCAACCGCATAAAATTTAAGCAATGATTTACTTAAGGATTTTTATGAAAAAATCAGCAGGCTTGCCGCACGGGTGTCGGGCGCACGCGCGCGGCAAGTCTGTCTTATTATACTTATGATTGTGTATAAATGTCGTGTATATTGTCGGTCGTGTAAAGCGTATAGGTACATATTTACTAATTACGTTGATATTTATCTTATGCAATAAATTATGCAACCATACGGTTGCGAAATCTAATCACACGCATTCGATTGAACCCTTCTCCCTCTTCCTGACTCGAACCCCGGGGTGCGGAAGGTTAGCGAAACGGAAATGGAATTTTTTAAAAAGGATTACAAGGAGTGGTCGGAGAGCTCGGACAGCAAAGTCAGCGAGTACATCGTGAAACGACCGGGCAAATTAAGAACCATACCTCAAGCTCATGGGAGAGAGATGCCCGCGGTTTTAGCTGAACTGAAAGCCGCTTTGCCGGACATAAGCCCAAAAGAAGTTAGGAGGTTCTTATTGAAATATTTATTTCATAAAATTACAAGAATTCAATTAACGAAACACAGATTATCTATGCGTCTGAGTAGACGTAAACGTATTATTTTTGAATAAAATGCAGCAGTCTAATTGACATCGATAAATCAAATAGATTTTATATGCCGTATCACGAGGCGATTCTTCTTGAACTCGAGGAAGAGGGATACCCGGAAGCGCATCGTTACATGAAAGACATTCTAAAGCTCGACGAGCAGATTGCGGCGAAAACGCCTGGGATGCTAACGTGGAAGAAGCCACGTTTGAAGGACGACAAAGATTTTATACATAGTCTGAAGAACGGATTGGTCACGGCCGAACAGGGTAAAACGCTCGGTACGACAGTTGAAAAATCAGTTTCATTAACATGTCCAGCGTTTGTAATTCAGTGTACGATGAATAGACTGCGGATTTGATGCATTTGTAAAATAATTGGAAGCAATGCATGTGATGCATATAAGTATACAAACTAATATAAAAGACGAATGCATATTGCAGTGCTTAATTGAAATCTGAAATGCATTTTCTTAACCGNCGTTTGAAGGACGACAAAGATTTTATACATAGTCTGAAGAACGGATTGGTCACGGCCGAACAGGGTAAAACGCTCGGTACGACAGTTGAAAAATCAGTCTCATTAATATGTCCAGCGTTTGTAATTCAGTGTACGATGAATAGACTGCGGATTTGATGCATTTGTAAAATAATTGGAAGCGATGCATGTGACGAATGCATATTGCAGTGCTTAATTGAAATCTGAAATGTATTTTCTTAACCGATTGCCATAAATCTTCTATTTTGCCTAAAAATTTGTTGATTAATTTATTCAGGTGATTTCGTGTTGCGAGCCATGTCGTTTATGGACACCGCTCTGTTCTTTCAAACGAAAACGTGGGAATGGTGGTGGATAGCCGAACGTCTTTACCAATCGGCCCTAGCCGCAGCAGAAATGATCGAGCACGACGATTATCAAACGATCACGTTGATACGCTATTTGTACGGACGGTTTCTCTTTAACGAGTGTTCGTACTATTATTATTCAATATGCAGATTGTGGATTTTACAGAAAAACCAAGAGTATCGAAGTTCAAATATAG